TTTGGGACCAGAAGTGGTACAGCGTAATGTTCCCATATATTTTTTTCCATACAAATTCGTCCATATACGAATTCAGTAGTGCTCTTACCGTAATTTATGCCCCTTCTTGAATTTCTGCTATAGAGACTCAATGCTGTTTGTGTAAGCACCGGTCTCGAGATCAGTAAGACTGTGGTTAACAGTCTCATGCTGGTATCTCTCTGGCATACCCTTGATGGTACAGTATGCAGCTCACTGGTCAGACACTATATTTGTTCCTGGAACAACATACTGCCTGATCAGTATCAGAAGGATAGCGGCATCTTGTCGCTCCACTGGAATGACGGAGCACTTATTGGTTCCTCGCTCAATGCTCCCAAAACACCACTGCTTCTCTATGACCCTACCTTTGTTGTATTTTCTTCTGGTAAGAAGCGTCTCGTCAATCTCCACTATTTTAGCAGGGTCCCTGATCTTTAAAGGATGTCGTAGGAAGTGTTCCCTGCAAACATTCCTAAAATAATTTATGTAATCTACTAGTGTGGGAGCCTAGTTTGCTCCCCCGTTCCACGGACCTTTTCCGCTGCCATGTCTTCGTATGTGAACCTTCAGTGTTTGGCCCAATACGAAGACAAGCAAAAGACGTTTTTTAAACTCAACTTAGAGTGTTCGAAAAATGTGCCGCTATAGAAACCTACTTTCTTGCGGCACTTCCTCGTTTTGCACCTAAAGTACCGGTTCCTTTTAACTCTCCCCTTTTTCTTCACAGTGTAAAGTGTCATTCCCGCCCCACAAGAACAAACGCGTACCATAAAAAGTAACTGCAGGGAAACCATCCACGCTTCAAAGTCCTTGTCCGAAAGAGCGAGCTTCTTCTCCAGCGTCCTACGGTTAAAAGAAAGCAGACAATTCATATCGAAACGAATATATTGAACTGATCTTTTCTTCACCAATCTCGTCTTTTAAGGAAGAAGACAACTAAGGTGACTTGCCACGGGGAAAACGAGGATGCGAAAAACAGTCTTTTTTGATGTTAAAAGTGGGAGCAATTCCGTTACACCACATTACTGTAGTTATAAGAGCGTTTGAAGCTATATATAAACAGGACTAAAAGTTGCAGCAGTTCTACATCCTAAGGTTTGAGAACTTGAAACTAAAAGCGCTATTACGGGAAATCAGAGCGCTGCCACTGCGTCACCTCACTGTGCCGTGGTGCAATCGTTTTCAGATATACGTGAACGAGTATATAAGTGAGTCGAGAAGTAGCGGCGGCGCTGCCGTCCTCTTCTCTCTGGTGCTCTCCCATTTCCTTTGCTTCCGTCCTTTCTCCAATTGTTGCTCTCCCCTTCACTGTCCCCTTCCCTCAACCTTCTGGCCAAAAACCATCTAGCCAATCAGTGCTCTGCGGCCGTCAATCGACAAGAATGCCTACTGGGGAGTGTTGCTGCTGCGAGAGCAGTAACAGCCTATTTGACCAAAAACTACATCTTACGCATGGCGTATGACAAACACAGACAGAAAAGTAGAATTTGAATAAAAATGCGTAATCTGTAAAAGGACATCATCAGGACTGTAATACGACACTGGTTCTTCTGCTGTATGAGGGAAGAATTCTTCCAAACGATGGATGTAATTATGACAATACGCTTACTACTCGTGTCATTAGCTTTATTGTAAAGTTTTCAAGATAAACTGGTTTGTAGTAAAGACATTTAAAACTGCTACCACCTGATCTGCTTTCTGTTCCTGCTCCTTTCTCTGTTCCTGCTCCTTTTCCTTCTCTTGCTCCTGCTCTTGTTCTTGCTTCCTCTTCTGCTCCCGCTCTTCCTCGCGCTCTTGTTCTTGCTTTTGCTTGTCTTTCTGCTAATACTTCTGCTCTTCCTTCTGCTCTCACTTCTGATGCTACTTCTGCTCCTGCTCTTACTCTTGCTCCTGCTTCTGTTCTTGCTCCCGCTTTCTCTTCGGCTCTCGCTCATGCTCCAACTCCAGCTCTTGTCTTTGCTCTTGCTCTTGCTTCTGCTTCTCTTTCTGCCGCTGCTCCCGCTCCCGTTCCTGTCCTGCTCCTGTTCTTGCTCCTCAGGGATAGTAGATTTTTTGAGTTAACTTTTAAAGGAACCAAAGAACCAAAATGAAAGATATGTTGCAAAATAAATTGGTCATAATGCAACAAAAGAAAAAGTTCGGATTTTGTAGAATTGCAATTTAAACAGGGAGAAAAAAAGCACTTTATCTGCAAATCGTTGCTTGAATTTCTACTTCTAATAATACAAAAGAAAATTTTACACTATAAGTAAAATGAAAACTCAAATTTTTTGATTTTTTATTACTGCTTTATCAGAGCGCAACTGAAAAGGTACTGCTTGGTACTGCTAAAAACTTTAAGTCTGTTTTTATAAATTAATTTTTTTTTTTTTAAATTTTCTGTGAACATTTTTGGAAAGATAAATTTGGCTTCAGAAAGCAACAACAAAAAATTGCTGTTTGTTGAAATAGCTCTACTTTTTGTACTGTGTTTGATTTTGTTAAGTGAAATTTTACTGATTTGTTGTTATTTGAAAAGTTTATTTTACCTTAATTACTTTTATTTTTGGTTAGCTCTGCAAAAAAAAATTTTGTTTTTGATAATTATTGAATTCAGTTTTTAGCAGTGTTTTTTTTTTTCTCTTTCACTTTCTGAGATGCAGATGGTTATTTGTATGTGTGCATAACTTAGGGTGTGTTTTTTGAAAATAAAATTTAAAAAACAAAAAAAAGAATTTTTTTCACTAATTAAGAGTAAGGGAAAAAAAAGAAGGTATTTTATGTCATTTGTTGTTGTTGTTGTTTTCAAATGAGTAATTTGTTGGTTTTTGGTTGTTTTGTTTTTGTTTTGTTTTTGTTTTTGTTTTTTTTTGTTTTTATTTTATTTTCTGTGAGTTCGTTTGCCTTTTTTTTTCTGTTGCCTAAACAGTTCATTGACAAACAGTCAAACAGTTACTGTGTGTGTGTGT